GGACTTTCTGCCTGGCTTTGATTGTAAGGGAGATCTGAAGAACATGTCTACTGTCTTGTGTTGGTCCTGTCACTTCAGAAAGAGATTGGTCCAAATACCTTCACCCAGTGTTTCTGTCTATATTTCAGTGGACACAGTAAACTGAACGTCTCTGTCTTTCTAGATGACAGTGCAGGTGATGTTGAAAACACAAAAGTAAAACTTTATTAATAAGTCTTGGTTGGGAGATGGTTGATGCATCATGGAAAGTACCTAACCTTGAATAGGATGTGAAACAAAACAAGATGTCTTATGTGTTCTTTTACTGTCGTTGACTTACACGTAAGGTAAGGGAGTATATAACATCTGGACCAAAGACAAGTTGAGAGTGTATCCTAAACTAACCTTGGCTAATTATAATGCTAAAATATACACCCACCCCTAGGGTAAAATTGAGCATTCTAATCAGGGAACCTCCCTGAAGCGTTTTAATCATTAGCCAGCATTCATAGATATGTTGTAGGACATACAGAGGGGTAAGAGTAACCAACTGAGTGTCTTCTGCTGACAAATATTGTGTGCCCTGCAGCATGGGGTGTGCTGGCTGCTGTTAAATGCCTGGTGTCCTGTTCTGCAGGGTACAGCTACAGACCTCTCAACTCTGTGCAGATTGTTTTTTTGCACATTGGGTGAGGAACCTTTATTAGGGACAACACAGGGTCTCTGTAGAGATCCTGGTGCTTCCCTTAAGAGAATGTCAGGAACTTTCTCTTACTTTTGTGATAAGGTTGACGGATATTCTAGATGACTTTCCTAGATGGTTTTCTTTGGTCTGAGGCTCACTGAGTTCTACAGAGTACAAAATCTCAGGGTAGAAGTTCAACATCTCACTTAACTGCTTATTAAGAGTATTCAGAATTTATAGGACCTGCCTTAAGGGTTACTTTTTTTTCAGTCCATCTCCCGCAAAACAATTTCAGGATATTAATGCTGCTTCTGAGGCAGCTTTGATCATGTCTGAGAGCTTGGAAGAATTTGCATGACCATCCTCAGCATGCTTGTCTGTATGCACTCAGATGGCCTGGTGTGAGACTGCAGACAGCCCATTACAAGTGTGTTTTTGGGCAGTTTACACCTGACAGTCACCTGCTGAATGTGGCTGTGACAGTACGAAGGGAACTGGGGGACTCCTGATGATAGATGGACCATATGTGCATTTCTGTACTCCTCTTGCTAATGACTGGGGCTTAGCTGGATTGCTCAGGGCTTCTGTCTCTCAGTGGAGTGCTGGGTGTGCTGGGAGGTGCATGGTTGGGAACGTGACTGGATCACAATAGTGTGTTCAGGAGTGACCTGCAGCTTCAGCCTTGGCATGAGTTGCATCATGTCTTCCTTGTGTGTCTGAGGGCTGGATGCACGGGGTTGCTGAGCTGTACTTAAGCCTAGCTCTGATCCCACCAGGAAGGTTCAAAGATTTTTCCTGGTCTTAGTTTCAGCTTGGGCATTATGCTTTGATACAACTCTCTTTCCTTGCTTTTTGACCAGCCACTTTGCTGCTTTGTCTAATCCTTCATCCCATGGGCCTTGACTGTGCTCTTGTCCTATATCCATCTCAGCCTAGATTTCTACATCACCCCTGATTTCTGGGTGGGTTTTTGTGTGTGTGTAGTCCTGCTTGGCTGCCTGCTGCAGTCTGCCACTACCTTTTGTTCTATCTAAGTCCTAATGGACTGTTTGTAATGGACAAAATGTCCATCAGGTGTATGCTTATACCAGAAACAAGATCTTACAGGATCTGTGGAGCCAAGTGTGGTGCACTAACTACATCCAGCAGTAACATACCTGCTGTCAGTCCTGAAGGTTTGGTTTATTTGGACTCACTGCAAAGAAATGCTGAGGAATGGTGTCTTTTCCCTTCATGTACCACTAAGAACCACAAAGAACCTTTAAGTGTCTGTGCTTCATGGGCTTCTCAGTGCCTGCTGGAGACATTATTTGGTCTCTACTCAAGATGGTTTACAGATGCCTTTGATGCCACTCTAGAACAGAATTATCTGTAAGGTTGGGAGATTTGGGGGAAGGAATCTTCCTAACCTTTGCATACCAAAGAAAATTTCATTACCATGACTTTGTGATTTTTTTTTACTTTTTATTTTTTTCTCCTTTTTTTTTCCACAAAGGAATCCTCTAAACCCTTCCCTATTCTCACTCCAGACTCACCTCAGTTTTACAAGAATACTTTAATAAATGCAGATTGGAAGCATTCCATATTTTCTTCTTGAGTACTTGTGGCTTTAGTCAAACAGTTTCCAATAATATCAGCTGAAAAATACTTAACGTGAGAAGTAACTCATAAGGCAGAATAAACATCCATTTCTAGGTGCAGATCTTATTACCTCTGAGACTTATAACTTTAATTACTAACATGAACTGTCTTCTTGACAGATACATTCAGAGTAATTTAATTTATACAATAAAATGAAAATACATTATACTGGCTGGTGTTTTTTTTCTGTATCTTTATTTAACAGGGTGTTTGGAACTATGCAAAAATTCCCCAGATTTACAATACAGAAAGTAATCATAGATGGTTCAGGTTATGAACCAACCAGGCTTCTCTTTATTTAAAATTATTATGAACTTACAGTTTACTATTGAGCTATGTAGCAGTAGTATTTTAGGCAATGTATTTGGCACAGACTCTGTATTCTCTGTATATATTTATAGTTGTAAATGTATACACTTCTGTTTTCAAGTTGTCTTTTTATTTTTTAAAAAAGTAGAAAGTCTATAAGTATCTCAGCTCATAATTTTTTGACTTCTGTCTAAAAGGGATATGCACACAAGTATGTAAATACCTTATGTGTGCTTTCTGTACAAGTAGACTGCTAAATATTGACATGTCTATAATATATAGAACCATAGAATGTTTTGGGCTGGAAGGGACTTTAAAGGTTGTCTAGTCCAAGCCCCTTGCAGTAGTCAGGGACATCTTTAACTAGATCAGGTTGCTCAGAGCCTCACCAAACATGACCTTGAATATCTCCAGGGGTGGGGCCTCTATCACCTCTCTGGGCAGCCTGTTCCAGTGTTTCACCACCCTTATAGTAAAGAACTTCTTCCTAATGTCTACTCTAAATCTGCCCTGCTGGAGTTTCAAACCATTGCCCCCCTCCTATCACTACATGCCCTTGTAAGCAGTCCTTCCCCAGCTTTGCTGTGGGACCCTTCAGGTACTGGAAGGCCACCATAAGGTCTCCCTGGAGCCTTCTCTTCTCCAGGCTGAGCAACCCCAGCTCTCTCAGCCTGTCCTTGTCACCTGCAGGAGAGGTGCTCCATCCCTCTGATCATTTTTGTGGCCTCTTTTGGACCTGCTCCAACAGGTCCATGTCCCTCCTGTGTTGGAGGCTCCAGAGCTGGACCAGGTAGTCCAGGTGAGGTCTCCTCAGAGCAGGGGTGCAGAATCACCTCTCTGCTTTTGATGCAGCCCAGCACATGATTTGCTTTCTGGGCCATATGAATGTAATACATAAAAGTATTTATACATTTTAATAAACTTATTAACATGCCAATATTAGTGATACTTAAACATAATTTCTAGAGTGCATAACTAAGATACTGTATTCAGAAATCTGCTTGAGATTTGTGTTTTGAAAAGGCTCCATTTCAGAAGGTTTAAAAAAAAATTAAAAATATAGTTTTACATGGACTTGATCCAACATTGGGACAAGGAAAGGAACAGACTCCCACTGACTTGAACTGGGAACACTAGATCAGACACCAACTACTGATGAGCTTTGATTTTTGAGCTGCTATTAGACTAATTGGAAAATTAATGTGACATAGAGATGATAGTGCAGATGTTTTTACAGGGAAGGACAACCTCAGTGTTTTAAGGGCACAGACTTAATGACTTTGGTACAAGGGATCCACGTTCCAGGCTCTTTGTTGCAGACCAGGTTCTGCTCTTGAAGGCTCTGCAGCTTGTGCTGTTCTGCTTGTTTTTGAAACAAAGCAGAAAAGAAACTCCAAGGGAATGGATGCAAAAATCACACTAGATCTAGTTCATACAATGTACAGCTAGAATGTTTAAAAAAGAATATTGTGGGGAAACTATCAACTAGTTTAAATGTGCAAAATAGGCTTTCCTGTGTTGTATGTAAACGTGTATGCACATATATAGTAAACATTACATAGAATAGGTGTTTGGATTAAAGTTGTAGGAAGAACCTCAACTTCAAGAGTTTTCTGAGTGTTTAATTCTGCACTGGTAATGCTGATTCCTTCTACTCAATATACCAAAATCTCTGTAGTATACTGGCCATTAACTTTAATTAAAGACTAATGTGTCCAGTAAGAACTAACTGAACTATTTATCACAGTGTGGGTGAACTTTGGCAAATGTAACACTAAAACATAAATTTGTTGTCTTTGCTCTGTCACGGTCATTAAATGCTATCCTGTTTTGTGAAAGGCATCAGGGTTCCAGGACAATGTCTTGTTCCCTTAAACTTGACCACAGTGTTTTAAATTTGTTCCCATATTCCAGTGTCTTTCCCCTGCAATACTTGCTTCTTCTTCTCTCCTATAGTCTGCCCTCACAATATACTCAGCTTCTTGTTACCATCTACTATTCTGGGGTTGAAGCTGGGGAGAAGGGAGCACTTAGGGGCTGTTAGAGCTGCCTGGGTGGTGGGCACCCAGCTGTGGGTGACCACTGCCTTTCACAGAACACAAACAGCAGTTCAGGCTTGAACTCTTTTCTAGGGTCCCTCTTTTCTAGCTGTTTGATTTTTGCCAAACTTAGAGCAACTTCCTATTTTTGAGGACAAAACTTGGTTTAAGTTAGGTGGTGAGTTTTCAAGTTACTTTTGGTGGATGAACTGAGATGCACAGGAAAAAATAGTGGCTAAAAACATAGCTCCCAAACTCTTCACTCCCTCTTAATCCAGAACACACTTTTGAAAGAGGAGTTTATATAAAGTATGTCCAGTTGTTGTCTACTTAGATATTGACCTTAGCAGATAGATCGTGTAGTAGAAGTTGTGGAGGAAACTATTAAAGGTAAGTATCACACGGGAAATAATTGCAGCGAGTCTGAAAGATGTAAGCATTAGCTAGCAGAAGTGCTGCTGTTATGTTCTTTATCAACCTGCTTGCTTTCTCCTGTAGGTAAATGTTTGAGCAGTCCAATACTTTGCTGTATACACTTTGTATAAGTCATAATTCCAGAAATCTTTTCAGGCAGGAGCTCTGGCCTGTTGGATTCATAGGTAAATGATCCAGGGGAGACCTGAGGAAATCATATAAGTTGCGTCAGTGTAGGTGGGCATAGAGTATTATTTAAAGTTTCTGCTCTGTCTTAATTCTGCTATGTCTCTACTTTCTTATGTTTAGTCCTCTCGTGTTGTCTCCTTTTGAGATGTTTTGGCTCACTTCCCTAAGCTTTCCTCAGCAGGACAGATAAATTATCTGCTGGTTTAATGTTCTGTTGCAACTGTGTTCCTTGTTCTCTCTGGCTGTGTTTGTGTGTGTGTACAATTAGGACTTTGCAGAGAAGGGGGAAAAGACAGTATTGTTTCTGCAGCATGACTAGTAAACATTTGCTATTAAATAAATATATTGGTCTGGGTCTTTCTGGGTTACCTAAGTTTGTCTCCATTACTTATCAGGCCATAAAAATTACTGTTCCATGAAGCTTTAAATTACAAGGCTTAGTTTAATTGGCTGTACTTTCAATATAAACAAGTGTCTAGTCCACAAGACATTGCCTGTAACTTTAGTGCTGGAGTATGAGGTTTTTGAAGTACAGCATGAAAATGTAGAAACAGTGCAAAATTTCAAAAGATTGGGAAAAAAAAAAGCTTCCATGAAGAAATTGTGTAGTGTGGTAAAGCTTCTTGAGTTTGTGTTTGAAGGCCTTAAGGTTTCATGTTGCTTTGAATGCTTTGAAAAATGAAACCTGTACTCTATTGTACCCACAACCAAAATGTTTCCCAGTTTGTCCTTTCCTTATGGCATCTTATTTTGTGAGGGGTTCAACTTACCCTACCATACAAAGAGGAAATATATTCAGTATATTCATATTAGTTATTAAATAAGCCAGACTGTTTTCCCAGATGCACCATGGTGTGTATGACAATGTGTTGGAAATTGGGATGCTCCATGATTTTTACAACAGTTCAGTATTGCAGATCCCTATCTAATTTTCCTGAATTTTGTTTACTCTTCAGGGAGTACGATGATAACCTGGGTCAGCATGCCCTCCTTGTACAAAAATGGGCTTTGTGGTATTTATACTGACTCCAGACATTACTTCTTTAATACTGTAGTTACTCAGGTGGTTGTGATGCAGTTGTTACATTCATGCTTTTCTTTGAATTAAGATTGCATTTTACATATTGATGTAATTCTGGAAAATAATTTTCATATAGATGTTAAAAGAAAACTTAAACTTTAAAAAGGGTGAATTTTGGGAAAGATTTTGGTTCCTTTCTAGCTTACCAGAAGTGATTTGAATAAAAAGGCATATGTGGGCTGCTGAATTCCATACATAGTGCAGATTCCTTCAGGGATTTCTCAAAAGGTAATGGAAAATGGGATTTCTGAAGTTTTATTGGAAAAAATAAACCAAAATGTCTTCCCACTGCAAGAGAGACATGAATATACTGGGAGGAGTCCAACACAGCGCCATGAATACGGTAAAGAGACCAAGACTGGAGCATCTCTTCTCGTGGGAGAGGCTGACAGAGATGAGACTGTTCAGCCTGGAGAAGAGAAGGCTCTGGGGGGGTCTTCTCAGTGTTTATAAGTAGCTGAAGGGGGGGATGCAGAGAGGACAGCCAGGCTCTTCTCAGTGGTGCCCAGTGACAGGACCTGAGGTTCCTTCTAAACATCAGGAAACACTTTTTTTGACTGTGAGGGTGACCAAGCATTGGCACTGACTAGGCAAGTGGTGGTATCTCCATCTCTGGGTATTTCCAAAAAATATCTGGATGTGGCAACTGGCTCTTGGTGGCTAGTGTTGCACCAGATGACCTCAAGAGATCCCTTCCAGCTGTAACCCTTCTGTGAAAATAGAATTTCAATTGGAAAGAGAACTGACAAATTGACAGAGGTCATAGCGTATGATAACAGCTTACTTTTGTAAAAGCCAACCGTAAAAATAAGAATTTTTACTTACAATTATTTCTTTAATTTGAATTTATTTAAAGATACCACAGTAATTTATATATTTGGGAAGCATTGTCTGCTATTGAAGCTTGTTCTCGTATTTTATGAAAGAGTCTGACTGTGAACTTTCATTATCCAAGCGAAATAAAATACTGTAGATAACAGGACTGTTGGTTAAGAATATTTACAGTATAAAAAAGATACATGGTAGAAGCTTAAATTCATGTATGTAAAACCAAATGAAATGTAACCAGCTCTCTTCATGAATCTACATCATTAGTAACAATTTCTGAAACTGCAGATGGGTTCAGGAAGCAAAGGTGGTGTGGGATGAGGGATTAAATGCAAATTCTGAAGTCAGAGCCAGCTGGTATCAGTAAGTTTTACATTGGATGTCTGTCATAATTATACAATTTTCTTCACCTATTTTGTAAAAAGAAAATCAGAAAGTTGCATGAGTGGTATACTCCTGTAGAGTGGCTATCTATATGTTTAAAGTCTAAAAAATATTGAAAGTTTAAAAAGATGGTTTGATGAATATTTAAACTGAGTAAGTTTAAACTACATAGTGTGTGGACTCTGTAGGCAGCTGTCTCTGGAGATCCCTAACCGAGCTGCCTGCTTTTTCTTCCCAGATTCTGTGGTGGTTATACCATAGTTGCCAGTTTTAAATCTAAAAGGGTAGCTTTCTTTGGGTTCCCCTCTATTATGGGCACTTTAGATTTTTCTTGGATGCTTGAATTTTGTAGCGCACAGTTTGCAAAGAGGGGAATTTGTAAAAAGGATTTGCTGCCCCCTCCCCTTTTTATTTTTCCCCCCCCTAATAATCTTTCTAGTTTTCCAAGGAAATGGATCCCCTTTTGGATTTTTTTGAAAGCTTACTGTGCTTCCAAAGAAAATTACTTTCTTGGAGTTGTTTAGATCTCTTTATATGAAATGTGAAAGAGTTGCTTCTAGCTTTATTTCTCAGTCTTGAGGACACTGTCAGGAAACCCTCTTCAGAACACTGTCATTCTGCTGATTCAAGAGATGGTTTCCAGAAGTAGATCTTTATGGTCGTCTTCACCTCATCTCTCTGAAAACAGCATAATTGCTAGTTCCCAACTGTCCCTTGAGATAATTCTCATAAACATTTTTTTTATGTGACTTTATCCTAATAAATATTAATTTCCAGAATTGATCTTTAATAACTGTGTAGTGTTTGTATGTGGATCATGGCTGATGGATATTTATACCATGTCCTAAGATGCATTTTGACTAGAGGCATCTTCAGGTACTCTTACTATGCTGTTGTGATTTATAATCTGAAACCTCTATACCCTCTGCTAGGAGCTGGACAAGTTAAATTTGATCTCTGTCTCAAAGTGACAGCCACAATCTTGGAGCCAAAGTGTGTCAGACTTACTGGTATACAGAAGAGTTTCACTGTGCAAGGCTCTGATTTAACAGCCTAGTTAATCTTGCTTCATCTGCACATTACCCAAATTGTAAGAATTGCTGTAATCCTGTCTTATATCAATGAGGCACTCATTTCTACTTAATTTCCTGGTAACATGTTATGATGACATGGTATGTTAGGAAAGTATTGCTAAGGAGTCGCAGTGTCTGTGAGCTAAGGGAAATCAAGGCTCTAATTTATATATATTCCATCATTAAGTAAATTTTCTGTCCAAAATTTAAAAGCTGTTTGGGCTGATCAGTCTCTACAGGAGGTCCCAGTAAGATGAAGGTTTGTCTTTGAGAAGCACAGAATGTCTTTATGGTGATTGCTCAGGTCAAGATTTTATGAACCACTTTAAAAACTGTCTTTAAAAAAAAAGCATACAATGTGTGTATTCAAGCTTGGATGTAAACAGTTTACAGTAGGCAAGATAATATATTTATTCTGTAAGTCAAAGGAGAAATTTTAACTGCTTAACGTAGAAATTTTTTTCAATGTTTTGTGTTTAGATCTTCAGCAGTTTGTGCCCTTTCTCCCCTTTCTAGGTATGTTAGCTCTCAGATCCCATGTTATTAAAGCTCTCTGGGGGTGGGAGGTGTGGAACCAGAGTATTTGTGTACAGTCTGCTTTTAGCTTAGGCCTTAGGGAGATGAGGGACACAGGTTGAATTGAGTTTAGGCCATATTGTGTCTGTCTAATGCTTTCACAAAACATAGTTTTACAATGGGTCATTAGACTTGATTGTAAAAAACAACCAAAGGAAATTACTTCAGGGTTGAGCCTTTTATACTTCACATAACCTTTCTTGATTTCAGTCACGTTGACCTGTCTGGTGAAGTTGCCCATCCATTCCCAGTTTAAACATTAACCAATATTTGCTAAACTGTTAAATTGTCCTCATGTGGTTAGTAATTATGGATTGCTGATAGTTGCAATGTCAGTCTGTATGAAAATGAGCACACAAATGGTACTTAGGTGCAGAATTTGCACTGGATTGCCTACCTCACAGTGAGTGTGTATATAGATATGGATGTATGCATATGAATGCCAGCATATTAAATAGTATTTGCATGTGCTGTTTGATTTCACTATGATCTGCTGATAACAGATGAAACAATTCCTTTTCAGTGTCTGTGATGGTGGGAAGAGTAGCCTTGACTTAAGAAACTGATGACAAGCCAGAGGAAGAATAAAAATTGGAGTAGTCAGGAGTTCCTTTCTGAGGAAAAGTATCATTTGGCTTCCAGTCAGGAAACTGGCTGTTTGTGCCAAAGTGCAGCTTGAGGAGGGTCAGAGGGAGGGTAGTGGCCTCATGGAGTCCCTGATTCTGTGTCCTTTGAAAGGACATAGAAAGGGGAGGACAGTTTTGGATGGGTTGTTTTATTTATTTCACTGTGTGGTGGGTTGACCTTGGCTGCCTGCCAGACCCCCACCCAGCTGCTCTCTTGCT